ACTGGGGAATTCTGGGAGCTGAAGTCCACATGACTGGGGAATTCTGGGAGCTGAAATCCACACATCTTAAAGTGGCCCAGGTTGAGAAACACTGGTCCACAGAATCAGAGGTCTTAGCAAAGACACCCTTTTAGAGTCTCCCTTGTTCTCCATTATCCAACCTCCCATTCAAGACAGGGTTAGTTTAAATACCAAATGTTGAGCCTGGGAATTGGGGTGTGGAGATGTTGGACGATGATTCAGACTGTGTGTAAAATCTAACTTTGAACCCTCAGTCTTGCTTTTCCATTTAGGCAGGGTTCCTCCAGGGTATCTGGAGCAGGCCAGCTTAGGGAAGGCTCCTCTGTGACATGGATGAATAACGCACAGGCTTCTGAATGTTGACGAAGTCCCATCATTCCCAGCTAGGATGGCCAAGGGTGATGAGCAGGGTGGAATGACTGGAAAATTGGAGTTGCAAATCAGGCAATGAAACTAATAATGCCACGTGCCGAGAGACATGGCATTCCTGCTTCTGAGGGTTCCTCAACTCAGCAACTTTAAGATGGGTAGACTTCAACTCCCAGAATTCCCCAGCCAGCCATGCTGGCTAGGGAATTCTGGGAGTTGAAGTCTACCCATCTTAATGTTGCTGAGGTTGAGGAACCCTGCTCTGAAGCATCTTTTTGGAATCGAATCAAAAGCATCGTGCAACCTAGGGGACCATTGAAGGATCTGGGTAGGTTATCCTGCAGAAAAGACAGTTGAGAGGAAAGTTGTGAGCAAATATCTGAAGGGCTGTCACACAGAAGAGGGGGTGGACCTATTCTCTGTTGCCCCTAAGGGAAGGACCAGGTTGAAAGGTCAGGGCAGTGGTTCAGTTTAGACGTCAGGAGGAACTTCCCACTGTATGGACTGTCCACCTTTGGAATAGGCTGTCCCGTGAAATGGGGAGTCCTTCATTGGTGGCCTTCAGACGGGCTGGATGGTCATGTGTTATTGATGCTATAGTGCAGGGTTCTTCAATCTTGGCAACTTTAAGACGTGTGGACTTCAACTCCCAGAATGTCTGGCTGGGGAATTCTGGGAGTTGAAGTCCACACATCTTAAGTTGCCAAGGTTGAGGAATCCTGCTGTAGTGGACTCTGCACTGGGCAGGGGCTGGACTGACCACTGAGATTTATTTATTTGTCAAATGTACATGGCTGCCCATCTCACCCAAAGTGACTTTGGACGGCATGCAGTAAAATCGAGAATTAAAACATTTTGCAAACCCATGAAAAGAATAAACATGGATAAAACAAGACTATGAGAGGGAAGATGTTTATATACAGTATAACCAGCGTGCAGGTCCCCATTGCCAGTGGATCCCCAGGCTTGCTGAAAGAACACATTCTGAGAGCTTTATGGAAGGCCATAAGGGTTGGGGCTAAGCTCACCTCAGGAGGGATGATGTTCCAGAGGACGGGGGCCACGGCAAAAAAAGCCCGTCTCCTGGGTCCCATCAGATGGAACTCCTTCTTGGAAGGGACCCGCAGCATGTCTCTCCTGCCAGACCTGATGGGACGGGCAGATGGAATAAGGAGGAGGTAGTCCCTCAGATAATCTGGCCCCAGGCCATATAGGTCTTTAAAGATCCCCTCCAACAATACGGTTCTAATACAGGTAGTCCTTGACTTACAACCACAATTGGGACCAGAACTTCTGTTGCTAAGCAAAGCGGTCATTAAGTGAGTTGCACCCAATTTTATGACCTTTTTCATCACAGTTGTTAAGCAAATCCGGCTTTCCCCATTGACTTTGCTTGTCAGAAGCCCTCGGGGAAGGTCGCAAATGGCGATCACGTGACCTTGGGACGCTGCAACCGTTGCAAATACATGCAGGTTGCCAAGCGCCCAAATTTTTATCACGTTACCATGGGGGCACTGCGATGGTCGTAAGTGCAAGGACTGGTTGTACGTCACTTTTTTCAGCACTATCATAACTTTGAATGGTCATTAAATGAACAGTCACAAGTCGAGGACTACCCATAATATCACTATTTCAATGCTCTTTGTACAGTGCTGATTGCTAGACAAGCTATCTTAGACTTATATCTGTGTCTCTCTCTGTTTAAAAGCAGCCACACCTTGTGAAGAGCAGCCTGTTTCATCTGTTGCTCCCAGCTCCCTCCCTTCTTTCATTCAAAAGGCTTTTTAATGTTTCCAAGGCCTTCCGCCATCCCCCTGAGCATATTCAAGGGTGGAGGGACCTGTAACCAAATGTTGCAGTATTTCTTCCTCTCCTAGCAGAGCTTTTACATTTCCCCAGGACACCATAAGGAGAAAGGAATTGTGATGAGGCAAGCCACATGTGTCGTTCCACTTTCTTATCCCTTGTTTGCTGAAAAGGATTTTCCTACACTTTGGCAAATGTCAGGGCTCTTCCAAGCCCCCTGATTTTGTGCTTGTGCGTCCCAGGGGCTTTGTTTAAAGCCATCTCTGGCAGCACTCAGTGCTTGAGACTGTTAGAGAAAGAGATAATGATGTTTTATTAAGAACTTCATTTGGGCAAGGCATATTCAAGGCTGCTTTAGCTTGAACAGGTCCATCCCCTGCAGAAAATTCAGCATGTAAGAGATCTTGTCCTCTGGGGGAGATGGGCGCCATAGAAACTTAATGAATAAATAAATAAATAAATCTTCCGTCATTGCCATCTTGACGTTCCCTGTTTTGCCTTTTCCTTCTGTGCTTCAAAGGATGCTGTGGCAAAAACCTCTCTGCACTTTTCTTCCCCTGCTGCAGGAGCTTCTGTCTTCTTACTTTATGCTCAGGGAGCTGGGGAAATACTTTCAAATTTCTCTGGAATGTTTCTTTGCTGACTCGCTTGTGGGAGGTGATGGAGGAAATCCTGGGATCCTGGGGTTGGAAGGGATCTCAGAGGTCTTCTAGTTCAACCCCCAGCCCAGGGCCAGAGTCTACACATCATCCCAGACTGATCATCTGGCAAAGACCCAAGAAGAAGATCCTTCCTGATTTTTTCCCTAGAATTTAATGGAGGAAAGGGAAGTCAAAAGGTCTGAAGAGAGGAGATTGCAAAAGGAAGGATGGGTCATTAATGTACACACAGATACTACGACCACCTTATTATCACAAAATAACTGTAAGAACAGCATAGTCCAGTCATTTCTCCTTTAGGAATTTATAGCATCTTTTAGAGTCATCCAACCATTGTTGTGCCAAAATAACAGTGACAGGTTTTATATCATTCCCGTGATGGCTGGTTGATGCTATGAAGATGGTATAAGCCTCTAATGGGGACAGTGGCATCTGTCACAAATCACAATGACATTGAAATACAGGTTGTCCTCATTTAGCAACTACTATTGGGACCAGCAACTCATTCATTAAGCAAAGCAGTCACTAAGTGAAACATCACATTTAATTATCTGATTTCCACTTTCCTTTGCTTTACAGATCTGAAAAGGTTATAAATATGAGAACTGGTTGTAAAGTTACTTTTTTCAACAATGTCGTAACTGCAAATGGTCGTTAAACAAGGCAGTGGCTAAACGATGATGACCTGTAATGACACATGTGCAATACTGTAATCATATAAAGATGACTATGCAATAAGATAATTGTATCAAGACATCTGAGACGGGTACATGAGTAATAGCGTTTGCATTATTACATGATTCCACATGTGTCATCATTTGCCCCCTCCCCTGTGGATGCCCCACCATCTTGTTTTTCTGCAAGGCACTAGTTTTAAAGGCACGGAGCCCTGCAAATAAGAGGGAAGGGGAAAAAAACAGGATTATAAGAAATATATTAAATGTGGTGGTGATCGTGACATCCATTGCAATGATTTCTCTAGATTTTTAGGAGGGGAGATTTCCAAACCTGATTGAGTGAAAGCAACTTTATGTATCTACCATCCAAGCATGTTACTAACCCTTTGTGTTTCCATTCCATTCTTTACTCATTTGTTTTCTCTTTCTCTTTTTTTTTTGTGTGTGTCTCCCCCCCCCTCCTTTTGGTTGTTTCTCCCCTCCCATCTTCTATTCTGCCACATTCATTTCATTTCTTGGCTGGGAGAAACAGATGCCCCGCGTGCACTACCAAAAGGTAAGGCCTATTTTAGCCATGTTGCCCACTTTATGGCCTCCCTAGCAGGGCTGTTTTGATTGCCCAAAGGTGCTCCAGAGAACCCAGGGATGCTTACGTAGTGCTGAACAGCAGTGGGAGTGTGCAGCTACGCAACAGCTGCCGCCGCAATGTTATCCCAGGAGGGGGGGGGGAAATGACTGTTTTAAAAGGTTGCAGACAGACGCTACACAAGCATTCCTGCACACACTGAAGCACATTTGGGAACTGAAGGAAAGCATAGCGCAGCCTGAATACTAGTTACATGTAGGCCTGCATGTAGAACTAGAAACGTAGCCAGAAAACCCATTGCAGAGAAGACGGGAGTCTCGGTGAATGGGTTCAAGCTGTGGGCGAGCCTGGAACAGGGAGAGGGCATATCGATTTAGTTTCCTTTGTAATGTCTGGAATTCAGTCCTAGGAGGAGGTCTGCAGTTTTCTTAATCCTTTAAAGCAGTTTGAGACTCAAATGCATGCCCGTGTGTGCGTTAGGGAGACGCACGCACATGTATGGAAATTAGGGGGGAGTGCATACATTAGGACGAATACACCTGTACAAATTATAAGGCAGGTTGTCCTCAAAGGAAACTGCACTCATGTGGAAATGGAACAAAGACAAATGAAGCGAATCAAATTTAACGAACGCCCAGTTCTTGTTGAGAAGGCTGTGCCTAGACGATGTGTTCCTTTTTGCTGGAGAAGTCTTGAATTTTGGAGATTTCCAGCCTCCCATCTTCCTCAAACCTGTGCCCTGTTTGATTTATCTTAGACTATTGTGTTCCTTTCCTGAAGGTAGAGCTAGGAAGTTTTCTAAACCTCTCCCCCCTCCCCCTTTATCATCACAACATCCTTGTGAGGAAGATTAGATTAAAAACGAGTGGTGGACTCCATTGCTTCATGGCAGGGTGGGAATTGAGCCCGGATGGCTCTTCCCAGCCTAGACTGGCATTCTAACCACTACACTGCAGTGCCAGAAGAATTGGCCAATGGAAATCAGGCTGTCTGGTTCCCTCGGGCTGTGAGGACTCTAAATCACTTTGGTGTAAGTGATTTTGCACCATATCAGAATCTCCTTGTGGCCTTTATTTCTCACCCTGTCATCTGAGTCTGGCAATGAACTGATTTCTGTTTGGAAAGATCTACCCTGGTTTAAGGTGTAATATTTGCTAGAGCAGAAAGGTCAGGCTGATGTAATGGTATGTGGGAAAGACCTTGAGAGATGGAGCAAAGATGCTTCCTAGGGAACCATCAGATAAGAGAAGGCATAGCCTGCAGCTGCATAATGGGTGGGGAAAGAGGCTCAGGAGGGACCCTCCCTAGCCTCTCAGGTTGTAAAGGAAATGGCGGGAGAATTGTACTTTCAGACCTGCAAGATTCTGTTAACGTAGCTTTACAATAAAGTAGAATTAGCTCATCTGGTCGTGTTTCCTGTCTGGTCTACCTGGGAAGGCCGACAGCTACCTATCAAACACATCATCAATATTCTGGTTGGTTCCAGTGATGCCACACCTCACAGGCATCTTCCAAGGTCTCAGCTCATCCAAGTGCCCCAACCACTGCAGATGGCTAGCTTGGCATAAGCTCACTTAACTTTCTCTCTTTCCAGAGAGCAGTTTGGCCTGGGAATGGTTCTCCCTTTGCTTCCCAACATTAGCCTTTTAAAATAAATTTGCCCTACTTTCTGCTTGATGTGATATTGATAAATATGCAGTACCTAAAAGTCATCAGATGCAGACACGTTAGCTGTCTTGGTGCCTTGGAATCCAGAGGCAGAAAAGAGGGGATCTGAATATTTTAAATTTAAAAAATCACAGGCAAGACTCTTATCCTTGACATTTCCTGGTATTTTGTAGGAGAGGTGTGTGGCATGAACCCTAGTTGCGCATCTGGATAGAGGCTGTAGCTTTTCCCAGCTGTGCCCCAAAATACACACATCTGTCTTCCCCATATGCTTTTTAGAACCAAGACCTCCCTGCTCAGCAAAACTCACATTTCCTGATCGCTCCAGAATGCATTTCATGTCTTTTTCTGTTTTGCCTTGTGATTGTGACAGCCAGGTGCTACTACAAAGTGGTGCTGTGTGTGTGTGCGCGCATGCACACCCATGTGCGCACATATCTTTGTGTAGGTGTGGGTTTAAAGGAAATTGGCATGACTCAGATTCCCCCGGAAAGAGAGTTTCATTCAAGTGGGATCCAGCTGAATTACCCTGTAGCAAAATACATGTCTCTGAAAAGGCACCTAACATTTTGAAGGCTTTCAGTATTTCAACAGGGGCTTAGAAGGCTTTATTCTTAGTTTCTTTAATGCTTCATCAAAGGCTCATCCCTTTTCCGTCAAGCTTTTGCTTTAACCTCTGAGCCCTCATGACTAAGGAGAACTTAACCTAAACATCTGGAATGGAAATAACCTCCTACTTCTCCCGCATAGCCCTGCCTCCGTGCGCAGAATTTCAATGGAGATGTTTGTAGGAGGAGAGCTGTGTTAGTCTATGGCAGTGTTTCTCAACCTTAGCATCTTTAAGACGTGTGGACTTCAACTCCCAGAATTCCCCAGCCAGCCATGCTGGCTGGGGAATATCTTTAAGTCGTGTGGACTTCAATTCCCAGAATTCCCCAGCCAGCCATGCTGGCTGGGGAATATCTTTAAGTCGTGTGGACTTCAATTCCCAGAATTCCCCAGCCAGCCATGCTGGCTGGGGAATATCTTTAAGTCGTGTGGACTTCAATTCCCAGAATTCCCCAGCCAGCCATGCTGGCTGGGGAATTCTGGGAATTGAAGTCCACACGACTTAAAGATGCGAAGGTTGAGAAACACTGCCTTAATTTAAGAGTCGTTAAATAGAGGAACTGATTCAAAGGGGAAGAGGTGGGCTCCCATTCGCTAGATGGGTTCACATGAACCATCTGCCTGAATTCTTGCTCTGAGCAGGAGATGAGACCTCTGGACTCTCTGTTATTTATTCTAATTGATTAATTTATTTATTCTAACATTGATTGATGGATTGTAATATTTCTATTAGAATGGAGAACAATGATTCTTTTACTCTCTCCTGTGCAAGTTCGCAGCGTAGCAACAGGAGTAGCACCCACTGATAATGGATGCTGCATTCTGAGAACAGAGACGTCGGTTCAGAAATGAAAACAGCCCAAGTTGCTAGTCCTCATGACTGTAAAGGCAGATTTGGCATTCGGTATCGTTGGAGTCCCCTGCCAAGTCTCTTCTGGAAATACGCATGAGATACCAGAAAAATTCTTAGATTTCCACAGGGGTAGGGTAAAATAGAAGTTCTCTATATCATTTTCCCCAACTTGGAGAGTGGAATATGCGGATTACATATTTTATCCCGGCTGTGTTTTAGTAATACTCTCTGCCGGATTAGGAAGTCTAGAGAATTGAAAAACCGGCACTGACTCCTTGCCATTTTGGCTGGTACGAATAAAATTACAACCCTCTGGTGGATTTAAGTTTTTTGGTCCTTTATTTACTTATACAGCTGGAGTCTGAATGAGGATCAACAAAGCTAGAGTTTCTGCGATTTGTCACCAGGGGGTGGTTAGAGGTAGACTGCCCCCCTCTAGGGAGGTTCGCTCTTGTTCTGTTTAGCCAGGGAAGATGCCTGTCAGGGAAGGCCAAGGGCACGCCCAGCCTGGCACGCTGAACTTGCGCGGCGTGCCCCGACCCCCCTGAGACCCAGAAGGCCTCCACCCTATGAGCTTTCCAAAACCTGACTTTTCCCTCAGGCATTGAGCTGGGTGGGAACCTAATATGGAACAGTGTAGAGTTGGTGGGGCGTTGTGGCCCTGTGATGGGGAAAAGTGATGCCCTTTGTGGGGTTTTGCAGATTTATACTTCTTTTGAATGGATGGAAGGGTGCTCTGAGCCACCCAGGATTACCAGGCGTATGATCGGCAGCCCCATAAATTTTCTAAATCAACAAGTAAGAGAGCCTTTCTGTTTTCCACCCTGAAATACAGTATTCCCCGGATCCAAGCATCGTAGCGCTGACAAGCCAGTGCCATCTGCCAGTTCTGGGCTGAATGTGGTTTCGATGCTGTTTCCCTGTGCCCAGCAAAATCTGTGGGTTGCTTTCAGCCCTCCTTGCTGGTGGCACCCACATCTGCAAGCCAGAAAAATCGGCGTCCCTGGCCTGCGGGGGGAAGCAAGGTGCCCTTCGTTCACCAGGAGACCCTAACCTTTCATTGTGGAGATCCTTCTGCTGCGAGGAGGGCTCTCGTCGTGGTTCAGCTTGCTGCTGTTTGAAAATTGCAAGCAGCCACTTTAACAATGCTGTAAAAGGGGTCTTCCGTCTGATTTTCCAGGCCTTTGAACTTTCAACGTTTTTCAAAGTTGGCAAGTTTAAGATGGGTGGGCTTCAACTCCCAGAATTCCCCAGCTAGGATGCTTTAAGATGGGTGGACTTCAACTAAGTGTGCTTTAAGATGTGCGGACTTCAACTCCCAGAACTCCCCAGCTGGCACGCTTTAAGATGGGTGGGCTTCAACTAAGCATGCTTTAAGATGTGCGGACTTCAATTCCCAGAATTCCCCAGCCAGCCATGCTGGCTAGGGAATTCTGGGAGTTGAAGTCCACCCATCTTAAAGTTGCCAACTCTGAAAAACACTGGACTAGTCTAATTATTACACCATGGTTTACATGCACAAAACTTTCCCAAACTTAGACTAAAACTTTCTCTAGGCTTGCGATCGGCAATAAATTCCAGCTGGTTGGCCTAATCGTCGGAGGATATGTTCCTAACCGTTTGATAAAGCCATCTTTAAAAAACTCTTGAGATTTTTAAACTCCTTTCAAGGAATTCAATTTGAAAGATTGCAAGGAGTTTTGGGATTTGGAGTCTCTCTCTTGACCGGGGAAAAACGGCATCCCCTTTTAGAAAGGGAAAATGCTGCCCCCACAAAACTTTTTTGAGGGGCTGTTTTCCCAAACATGCAGGATTTATTAAAAAGCAATATCAAGAAAGA